AACAATGGCCGTAAAACAACTAATCGACAGTCTAAACAATAGTGTCTGGGTTTGATGAAAATCTGCCGCAATAATTTTCAAGGCCAAACAAATTTCATCATACACCCTGAAAATACATTCATATTACTGTACACCACTGCAAATGACCTAAGCTGTCGAAAATATAGAAATTATGTTTTTTTTTTTTTTCATGTCAGAGTCCATCTTGCACCAATCTACCATTCGTCCCTCCATTGAATGATGCTTCTGTATCTGGTTTGATGCTCCTGTTCCACATCTCGTGATTCTTAACATAATCTAAAGAAGGATCTGTAATATAATCAATCTTAACTTGGCATCTTGACTTCAGTCATTTTCTCACCGACGTGCCGTGTCTTCCCCCTGTCTTTTTTATAAATATTTTCACGACATCTTCTCTGAAGATCTTTTTTTTCCTGGAGCCGCGACTGCATGAATTTAATTGTGCCACTAGATTCTTCTTCTTTAACAGGTCCTTTTCTCGCAATTTCCGCCTGTGGAACTCCTTCCGTTGTTTCCCTGGTAACTACAATCTTCAAAAAAAGTTAAATGCAACGTCAATTACCATCTTGAATCTTATTCATCTTTTGTCTTTTCCACAATCCTCCCTATACTCAGTCTTTTCTCTCACTTTTCCGCCTTGTAACCACCTGCTTGCTAGTGACATTCTCGCCTTGCTTGGGGTGAAATGATTATAAAAAATTTGGAATTTGAAAATGTATGGTGTTTTGATGACGCAAGAAGAGAAAAAAAATGAATAGAAGGAACGCATGAGTTATAATGGATTGAATTTGCCTGATATCGTAGTAGATCTTTACTTGCTATTGTTTATACTGAATACACCCGGGGTGAACGACCTGTTTCAAGTATTAGTCGACATGTGCGTGTGCGTCAGATAAATCGAATTAAAATATGCGCGTGTGTTTTTATTTACCTCTCTTTGGAGATGAACGTGTTTTGTTTAACATCAACAGCTCCGGTTTCATTTCTCTTTGAAAACCAAGCAATTCTCTCGGGGTTTTTTTTTACGTTTCATACATTTTTTTTCCAATTACCTTTTAATACTCCGCTTCGTATTCAAGTCGTTCCCACTGCGCAGTCTACATTCCAAGTGGCAATGTTTGCTTCCGCCCACCATCTTGGTTTTTCTTTGACTAACGCGTTAGACAGAGACCGTTCCGTTTGTAGAGGAATTGTGACTCTTTTTGTAAAGTGAGGCAGGCAAACAGTTAGACAGGCTGTTGTCTGTGATTTGGTCTGAATACCAGAACAAAGAGATAACAATGCCTTTTTTTCAAAATGTGGTGCAAAATTGGTTCCTTGTATCTTTCACGCTTGAGAATAAGGTTCTTCTTTTATCACTAGTACTTTTTAATGTCTGTCTCTCGTTCCAGACATCTTAAAAAAACTTTATTTGACTTTCTTTTTTTTTTCATTTGCGCACGCCATTCTGTTTGTATATGCGCATTAAATGTTTTCATTTCTCTTTTGTTTTCATTTGCTTTTTATTGGCTTCATTTTGGAAGCAGAGAAATATTGCAATCGCTGTTAGTTATTTTATTTTCGTCGTCATGATCATCATCGTCGTCGTCGTCGTCATCATCATCACTTCCGCTCTCCGAAAGGCAAGACAACAAACGCAGACAACGGGAGAACGAAAGGCGTCTTTGCTTTTGATATTAAAAATAATTATTTTTACAATGTTATATCCTCAAGGTTCATTTATTTATCGGAAAAATGCTCACAGAAGAAACTGTCTTATCGGATGCAGTCGGTGTATTTTAAACACCGCTGTCAGGACATATGCTTACGTTAACCCATCAATAATCACTGTCACATTATTGTATTGGTCCGTATAAACGGGTTTTAATAGTTGTGGGCAAAATGCAACCCGTGTGATCTTTTTGTATGGCACGCTTAATTTTCTAAGGAAAATAACGTTTCTTAAAATTTTATTTTGTGTCTTTCTCAGTTGTTCTCATTTTCTCATACGTAAACACATAGAGAAATAAAGATTAAGTACAATGTTTCTGGAGTTTCTGGAATTTTTTTTTTTTTTTTAAAAACATCGATTGCAATTTTTTCAGTTATCTGTTCTGAATAAGACTTGTTTTTTTATGTCCATCGTATTTTTTATAATTTTTTTCTGAATTGTATTTTATATGAATTTTGTCTAAAAAAAACAAAATAAAACGAAACGTCAGACGTCGACATTTCTTTCATTTAACTACATTTAATATTTTTGTTTGTTTTTTTCAAATTTCTTCATATATATATATATATATATATATATATATATATATATATATATTCTTAAGTGTGTGTGTGTGTGTGTGTGTGTGTGTGTAGAAACAGGTTTGCAAAACTAGGGCAATAAATATTTATTTATTTATTCATTTATTTGTTTATGATGCAGTGTTAAATTACAACATGCACATACCCAAAGATTGCAAAAGTAGCATATATAAATATAAATTTGAACATTTTAAGTCAACACTTAGAGGCGACAGGCTGTTTCATACTAGACCGCCTGATGATTGGCTCCAGCATGAGACAGCCTGTCGCCTCTAACTTTGTCTTCAATGTTCACTTTTACACTTTTATATTTATATTTACATAAGCACTATCTCTGATATTGAGTACGTTATCCCATAAATATAGCACATTAAAACATTAAATATATATATATATATATATATATATATATATATATATATATATATATATATATATATATATATATATTTTTATAATTAAGACTTATTTCAAATTTAATTCTGTTTTAAGGATAAAACCTTTAATTTACCTTTGGAATATTAAAGAAATTAATGGTTCAGATATATATCGTGAATGTTGTAAACTATATAAATTTTTTTCAGTGTTTTTATTGCGTTTGCATGTCCTTTATCGAGCGAGGCACTTTTTAGAGTCTTCTACTTCTCCTGATATCATTATTTCTTGCCCATCGCCCAAGTTTTTCTTCACATCTCCTCCCAACTCCCATAACATTATACAATCCCATTGTCGTCTTCGTCATCTACTTTCCTTCTCTTCATTCCTATTTCTCTCCCTTCAAATCTGTCCACCATCTTGTCGATGTCCTGGCGTGTCAGTCTATATTTTGACCCGACTCGTCCTATACATTCCGTCAATTTGTAGCGCTTTCGGGGCTCCTCCATATATTTTTTGTTTTTTTGTTTTGTTTCTTTTCTTCTTCTAAAAATGGCGTTGGGAGTGCAAAACCACTTTATAATCTCCTGGCGGAGGAGAGCACACAAGTAAATTTACAGAAAGGTTGCTTAGAGTAAAATTGATTTTTGAGGTAGGGTTGGCAAGTCTCATGAAGACGGATGAAAAGAATAAGAAATGGAGAAAATAGAAAAAAGAAGAGGAGAAAGCAAATGAGTTTTAGAAAAAAAATGCAAATCGTGAGAAATGTATTAAAAGAGCGGGGAGGAATTAGAAGAAGAAGAAGAAGAAGAAGAAGAAGAAGAAGAAGGTTATAATGATGATAATGATGATGATGAAGATGAAGAAGAAGTTGAAGAAGTTGAAGATGCTGAAGAAGAATAAAAATTATTATTATGATAAAAAAAATGATGATGACCATGAAGAAGAGGCAGAAAAAGTATAAGATGATTGTAAAGATGATGATGATGTTGAAAATGATGATAATGATGATGAGTAAGACAAAGAAGAAGACGATGAAGGAAGAAGAAGATTAAAAAGAAGAAGAATTATGATTATGATGAAGAAGTAGAAAAAGATGATGACAATGAAGAGAAAGAAAAAATGAAGATGATCATGATGATGATGAAGAAAACGAAGAAGAAAAATGATGAAGATGCTGATGATGATGAATTATAAAGAAGAAGAAGAAAAATGATGAAGATGCTGATGATGATGAATTATAAAGAAGAAGAAGAAAAATGATGAAGATGCTGATGATGATGAATTATAAAGAAGAAGAAGAAGAAAAATGAAGCAAACTGGCAAAACGTGCAATGAAAATGTTAGAATAAAAGAATTAAAGAATTTTGGAATATTAAGAATACAAAGACGTAAACAAAATTATAGATGAAGTGAAAGAATGATAGAAAGTTCAATTGAACATATATGATGGAGAAGGAGAAATGTGGAAATTATGGTTGCTCTTGCATTAGTTAATCTTGAGGCTAAACTGTTCTAAAGAATGAAATTTAGAAGAGGCACCAACCTCTTGCCTCAGCTCTTTTAATGACGCTGTAACCTATATACGCAGACGCTTATATAGGGTAATGGCGTGTGGTCATTAGAATCTTGGTTGAAATATCATATTGAAGCGTGGAAATAACATTCAGGTTGTAATGTTATTTCCGTTGCCTCATTGTCTGTATCTATAGATTTCCATCTCTTTTATTGAACAGTTTTCTCTATAAATATGAAAATATTTAAACAATACATATATATATATATATATATATATATATATATATATATATATATATATATATATATATATATATAAATTATAAATTTACTATTTTTTCTAGTTAAAATTATGGTTCCATCGCTACACATAAATTAACATGTTTCAAAAACAGAAAGTAAAAACGTCAATTTTAATAATAGAATTAAATTTAAATCCCTAGTATGCTTCATTTTCAAGCGAATCTAGAAAAAAAAAATGATTCCCTTCCCATATTATAATGTGAGAATGTGAGATTCCAATATTCGCTTAAAAATGAAACAGTACTAGAGATTTTAAATTAATTCTATAATATATATAATTTCTGTGTAGCGATGGAACCATGTATTTCAACTAGTAAATTTATAATATTTATTCTCTGTCGGACTGTATTGAGCTCTGTTTTTTTTTTTTTTTTAATAATAATTATCCGGAACACCGGATTATAAATCTTACTGTTTTTTTTTTATTTTAATTTTATATATATATATATATATATATATATATATATATATATATATATATATATATATACAGAGAGAGAGAGAGGGAGAGAAAAGAGAAAGAAAGAGAGAGAGAGAGAAAAGAGAGAAAGAGAAAGAAAGAAAGAAAGAAAAGGGAGAAAGGAAATGAGGGATAATCGAGAGAATTATGTAGTTACCTTGCCACTAAGCTAGTCACGCAAACAAATATTATACTTTATTACTAAGTAATCCGCTTTTGTAACTTCATGACCCACATTATTGTTGTTTTGTCGAAATACGACATAATTCGTAAATAACAAATAAAATTTGAAAATAAAAAAAAATGAAATATTTTGAGAAAGAACGTAGAAAAAAAATTTTGTTAGAATGTGAGAAGGAAAAATACTTTTTTTAAATTATTTTAAAAATTAATAAATACTTTGTGAAAAAAGTAAAAATTTTAAATAATTTTAAAAGAAAAAAAGTAAGAAAGCTGTTAATTAACGTAAAAAGAAAACTTAAAAGAAAGAAATATTGATAATGTATTATTTAAGGATAAACGTGGAGAGGAAAAAACGTGAACGAGGAAAATGATATGAACAAAAAAGACAGAAAGATATGAATCAGGAAAAAAAAGTTGTAACGGCTAAAAATAAAGTATTTAGGCAATCGAAAGGAAGAAGAATAAGAATAAAGATTGTGAAAAAAAAGAAAAAGAAGAAAAACAGAAGGAGACGAAGAAAAAGAGGAAAAATCCGAGAGAAAAGAAGGGGAGGGTGAGTTGATAGTGGCGAAAGGAATGTAGACAAGAAGCATTGACGCTTGAACAATAGCCAGATTACACCAGAGGTGGACACGGTGCCCATTTTAACCGTCTCTTACAATTAGCTGCAGACACTGTCCGTCGCAGACTTTTAGTCGCTGCATTTTGCCGCCTTTTCAGTAAATTCTCCTTTTTCTTTTGCCCAACGACGCGTCACAACAAGCTTGCAGCCCCGTGACCTTTCAATCTTGAACCAGCCACCACTAACAACAACACAGCTACTACCACCACGCTTTCCACCGTTACAATTCAAGACCTACCCGACACTCCAATCCTCATTTCTGCTGCCCCTGCCACCATCAAATTCGTACCTTTTCCTAAATTTTCTACTGTCGCCATTATCATCGGTGTATTCACTATGGCTTCCACGCGGGTTGGAATCGGAGCAGAAAGGAAAAGAATAGATTGGAGAGGGGAAAGGAAAATAAGGTTAGTATGAAGCTTGAATTTAAGCAGCTGGGGGAGAGGTCGGGGTGTAAAGTAAGGAAGTTTTGGGCTGAGGTTCGGTTGATGGATGCAGCCAAGATGGAAATGGAAGGAGATCTTGAAACGTGGTTGGTTGATTTGGGAAATGTTGGGTTACGGGGAGGAAGTTGAAGGCAGCAGTCACATATTTTTCGGATCAATAGAACAAGTCTAGGGAAGAAAAGCAAGCTAAATGGAACTGCATTCGACTTTCGACATCTGCCTCTTGATGAACTGGAGCAAAACAATTTTTTTTTTTTACTCACTGGTCTTGGACACGCTGTGCATTCTCCTTTACCATAAAGAAAATTGCAAAGCCTTCTTTTCTCGACCTTTTTTTTCTCTGCACAAGTATTTTAATTTCTATTTATTCATTTATTTTTCTGTAAGGTTCACCCTGTACAAGACGCGAGGGGGGGGCATTCAAGTTAGAGGGAATGTCATATCATGATGTCCCAAAAGAGATATCATCAAATTTAATGATATTTTGCCATTCCAAAACACATATATGACACTAATATATATATATATATATATATATATATATATATATATATATATATATATATATATATATATATATATATAGAGATGATAATTGGAAAAAAATATTTATACTAAGACGTAGTTAAATTCCAATATCAATAATTCTGTGGACAAGACAAATTGGTATAAGATGAGAATTGCAAGAAATGCAAATCGTGAGAAAGATATTAAAAGATAAGAGAGGTGAGGATTTAGAAGAAGAAGAAGAAGAAGAAGCAGAAGAAGAAGAAGAAGAAGAAGAAGAAGAAGAAGAAGAAGAAGAAAGAAGAAGAAGAAGAAGAAGTCGTCTCTGTATCAATGTATAGGCTGTAGATTAAGACAAAATAATACGAATTAAAATCCTCGGTGAGATTTAGTTTACTATGATTCCAAATAAGCGACGTTAATTAGTAAATATTAAAGGAAAGCAGCGAGTGACATTATCTCGTAAGTCCTGCGGAGACATGGTCTTAAAAATGGCAATATCATACCACTATATCAGCTCATCAAACAAGTTATGACAAAAATATCAGAAATAAATATGTTTTTTGCTGTGATAAAGAAGTATAAATATACAAATTTATCGACAATAAATTTCAAGTGCGAATCTTGAAAGTAATGTGCTATTAAAGTTTGACAAAAAACAAGACCGACAATAAAAATGGCGCTATATATATATATATATATATATATATATATATATATATATATATATTATATTTCAAACGTTGAATGCAAATAAATTTTTAGATTTTATGTAAACTGTAGACCAGATTGAATGTGAATTGTCCATCAATACATTCATTGTTTGTCTGAAGACGTTTATTACGGAACGAACTCGTCATAACTCATTTGAGCGTCTTGCCATATTGGCTAACTATTATTTTGATATGTGTGTTTATCGTATGTTCACACACACACAAACACACACACGCACAGACACACACACACACACACACACACACACACACACACACACACATATATATATATATATATATATATATATATATATATATATATATATATATTATTCGAAAAGTCTAATCAAAACCATCAATTGATAAGACACCAGAAAGAAAATGGTTATTTAATATTTATGTTAGAATCTTCGAATAAATTACATTTTCACTACTCTGTATTGAATAATCTTTTAAGAATAGTGCTTTTTGGTTATTGGAATTTATTCCGTATACACCAATCCTATACTTGGGTATATATATATATATATATATATATATATATATATATATATATATATATATAACGTGTGTAAAATCAAAATCGGCCATTTATTAGATTATTTTTGAACTGTTTTAACTTAAAATGATTAAATATATCTTACTGGAATTCTCCGAGATATTTATAACTCTACTGGACTCTACTTTGAGTAATAAGAATGCATAATTACGCTCCCAGCTTAACAGAAGAATCGTGATGAGATTGATCATAAACAAAAATAACCTGTACATCATTAATTAATCATAGCTAAGGATCTTAAGCTCTCGAAGGATTGAAATAAATTTGAAATACACTATTCCAGCATAATTTTCCAGCTGATTCAAAATGATCTTCGCCCTCTCTAAGCTTCTACCTTTATGACTTGGAGAAAAATGTGTCTCATTTGTTTCACATACGATTTCAATTTTAAGTTATTTTTTTTCGCTTCTACTTAGATTTCCATAGGTGAAACTCGACTCTCACGTGCCGAACGTCTTATGGATTGAGTTGGAACATTTCTAATTGATCTTTTTAGATCTAAGTTCAAATGATGATCCCTCTTCCTGCTGTGTTTTAAAGAATTCACCGTATTTTTGATGGATCTTGAATGAAAGCCAGAGAATGAATTTTGGAAAAATTACTGAAGGAATCAATGATAATTTGACAAAGCAGTGGGGCTGATAAAAAACGATATTAACCTGTTCACTTTATAGCTAAATGGGTCAAAGGGATTTTCCATGATTCTTAGGATAAATGGATCAGGATGGCTCGACGTCTTTTGTAAGAACGTGTAAAACTTAATTAATTTAGTGTTTTTTTAGATATTTAACATTGTTTGGGATGGACAATTATACAGCGAAACAATTTGGAAAATTTTGCAGTTACAGCCGGCATATATATATATATATATATATATATATATATATATATATATATATATATATATATATATATATATATATATCTCTCTCTATATATATATATATATATATATATATATATATATATATATATATATATATATATATATATGATGGCTGCGTGGGTTGCGCCATTAACTGAGAATATAAGTTCAGCGGACCATCAATTGATGGTTGCCTAACGTAATTTCACGCATCATACGCCATATTTCCATTCCGTTTTATCTTTCCAATATTAATTATATTTTCATATTAACTTTAATACATTAAAGTACGAATATATATATATATATATATATATATATATATATATATATATATATATATATATATAATTAAATATATATAATTATGTACATATATATTTACAATTACGTATATATATATATATATATATATATATATATATATATATATATATGTATATGTAAATGTTTCATTAAATAATATAGACAAGTATTGTCTATTTATTTTAAGTAAGTTCCTTTCATATTGTCTGATAAGCTCAATAACATTATCATTGAAAGACGAAAAAGAAATCACCATATTGAAATTATTATATATATATATATATATATATATATATATATATATATATATATATATATATATATATATATATATATATATATATATATATATATATATATATATATATATATATATATATATATATATATATATATATATATATATATATATATATATATATAAATATAAATATAAATAAATATAATTATTTATATATTTTATATTTATATATGGTATTTATTTTTAAAACTTTACTCAGTTTGTCTGACGACGATCAGCGTGAAAAGCCAGGTTCAAACCTATCCAACCAAATATAATATCATATATATCAATAAATATATATATATATATATATATATATATATATATATATATATATATATATATATATATATATATATATATATATATATATATATATATATATATATATATATATATATATATATATATATATATATATATATATAATTTAGCCGATTTTTTAAAAAAGGTAGAGATCGAAAACCACCTGCCGAGCACGAACGTCTTTTCGACCTCTGTTTTTTTTTTCTTTTAACATATTTTACTTTCAATTTCATGGTTTTCCTCGAGTATTTGTTTTATTCACGCGCATATCTATCTTGAGTTCAATTAAAGACTCTTTCAACCATTTTTTTTTTATTTTACATTCATAATATTTTACCTTCATTATTTTACATCAACACATTTTACAGAGGGGCACACACATGCACACATGCAAAACACACGCACATATATTTATATACCTATCGATATATCTATATATCTCCATCTCTACTTCATTCTCTCACAATCTCTATCTCTGTCTATCTGTCTGTCTGCCTCTCACTCTATTTCTGTGTATATACATATACATACATACATATATATATATATATATATATATATATATATATATATATATATATATGTATGCATGTATACAGGAATCGAACATGTATTTCTGTGCGGAAACCGTCATTTCATCTGACTTGCTATACTATTTAGCTACAGAGAAAATGTATAAACAGTATTTTAATAAATAGTTGTCGTATATATATATATATATATATATATATATATATATATATATATATATATATATATATATCAATCTCAATCAATAAATCAATCAGTGTATCTATTTGACTCATCCCACTCTTCTGCCACACCCCTATATGTAACCTATATTCTATTGAAGTATCTTAGCCAAAGAGATCCTTATTCTATGAATAGGCCTTGAATTATCAGCGAGGCTACAGCACGCTTCACTGAAACCTTGGCGGCCATCTTTTTAAATTCGGACACGATGTTCTCAATATCAATGGTTT